TGTTTCACTTGTTATCAAATACAGTTCCCAAAGGAGGCAATTAGCCCAGTCAATGAGTTGACACTGACTTTAGTCACATTTACTTTCAAAATGAAGCAAAACATACTATTATTTTTAAGTTTTTATATAAATATTAAAAAATGTTTCTCAAGAATATATGTTTTTGGTATCTCTCATGGTTTTAATAACGTCAGAGAGACTTATTTAAATTATTATATTCACCAAACTGACCTAAATGTACGTGTCTCAGATTATAAGACACCACGAGTGTGGGTGTGGGTGTGGGTGTGTGTGTGGGTGTGGGTGTGTGGGTGTGGATAAGGAGTTAACGCTGATCTTAGAGAGTTAGCGCTAGTTTTGCGGGGAATGCGGGCGGTGCTGCTGCTACTGTGATGTGGGATGTGCACTGTCATGACTGGAATGTGGGGTATGAATTTGTGGGTGTGGCGGAGATGTGTCATACCCTCTAGCCAAGGAATGTGGGGTTCGTATCCCCCCCTTCTCATCTATTCCTATGTGTGTGAGAATATCTTGTTTAAACACTGTAAACCTAGGAATGAGGAATATGTGTCATATCTGAGACTCAAGTGTCCTATTGTAATAGTGAGGGTTATGTGGCAAGTGGGCACTTAAGTGCGACATGTAGCACTTAAGCGTAAGTGCCCACGTGTTGAGGAAGAAGTGTGAGAACCCACTTGTGTCTAGCCTCGTAGCCGTAGTGGGCCTCGTAGCCTGGTGGATAGCGCGCAGGACTCGTAATTCTGTGGCGCGGGTTCGATTCCCGCACGAGCCAGAAACAAATGGGCAAAGTTTCTTTCACCCTGAATGCCCCTGTTACCTAGCAGTAAATAGGTACTTGGGAGTTAGTCAGCTGTCACGGGCTGCTTCCTGGGGGTGGAGGCCTGGTCGAGGACCGGGCCGCGGGGACACTAAAGCCCCGAAATCATCTCAAGATAACCTCAAGATAGCCATTCACGTATTCCATTGGCCTCTTCTCCTAGCCACCAATATTCCTCTATTCTATCCCTTCCCAATCCTATCCCTGCTTCTCCTCTCCAATCCTCACCCTGCTTCCAATCCCCAATCCTCATCATGCTCCTCTCCTCTCCCTTTCCGCTACTCTAAGCCGTGAACAATGTACTTGTAGTGGATGAATGGGTTCAGCTTTTGGTCGGAGAATTACGTATGTAAACAATCTTTCCTCGTTTTCTTTGATGCTTTCACGCGTTCGTTTACCATTTTCTATGTTTCGAGTTTTATATTTTTAAACAATTTTATTTATCTTTTTTTATAATTCGCAAAATTATAGTTTGTTATTATTTACAAATTATATTCATCTCCTAATCCTCATATGTCAAATTCTATTGATTTAAATATTTAATTACCCAGAACGATTAAATTTTCTCGCTTCCCGTTTTCTGTGAATCTTATATTTATAGTCGTTAGAAAGCCTTAATTTCCTGTTTTCTCTAATGTCTTCACGCCCTTACTTTGGGGTGGACGGTAGAGCGACGGTCTCGCTTTTCATGCAGGTCGGCGTTCAATCCCCGACCTTCCACACAAGCGATTGGGCACCATTCCTTTCCCCCCGTCCCATCCCAAATCCTTATATCCTGGTCCCTTCCCAGTGCTATATAGTCGTAATGGCTTGGCGCTTTCCCCACTGATAATTCTTCTTCCTTATCTTATACCTTTATTAAATAAGAAAATCATTTAGGTTATGCAAAGGGTTCGAACTCTCGTCACAGGATTCCTCCACCCCACAATATTTTTTGTTTACACCATATTTTCTGTAAACATAGCCAGCTTTAGGATATCATAGGATATTTGATATCCTACTTTATTTGATAAAGGGTTCATGGAGGAGAGAAGAAAATGTATATATATACTGGTTAGCATTGTAAATGTCTGGCCACGTCTGTGGTAGAAAATGAATATATGCTGGTTAGCATTGTAAATGTCTGGCCACGTCTGTGGTAGAAAATGAATATATGCTGGTTAGCATTGTAAATGTCTGGCCACGTCTGTGGTAGAAAAAAAAATATCATTTGATATCCTACTTTATTTGATAAAGGATATCAAATAAAGTAGAGAGCAATAAAATAACGACATTTCAAAATAATGTTTTTTGGTGTGTGGAATGTTTATTGTTTGTTTTTGTAGTATAAAAGACATACATGTTACTATTTACATCACGTAAGAGTAAGGAATATGTGTAAGCGTAAGAATATGTGTAAGCGTAAGGAATATGTGTAAACGTAAGGAATATGTGTAAGCGTAAGGAATATGTGTAAGCGTAAGGAATATGTGTAAGCGTAAGGATTAGATGTAAGCGTAAGGATTATGTGTAAGCGTAAGGAATATGTGTAAGCGTAAGGAATATGTGTAAGCGTAAGGAATATGTGTAAGCGTAAGGAATATGTGTAAGCGTAAGGAATATGTGTAAGCGTAAGGATTATGTGTAAGCGTAAGGATTAGATGTAAGCGTAAGGATTATGTGTAAGCGTAAGGATTAGATGTAAGCGTAAGGATTATGTGTAAGCGTAAGGATTAGATGTAAGCGTAAGGATTATGTGTAAGCGTAAGGATTATGTGTAAGCGTAAGGATTAGATGTAAGCGTAAGGATTATGTGTAAGCGTAAGGATTATGTGTAAGCGTAAGGATTAAGGGTAAGCGTAAGGATTAACCGTAAGCGTAAGGATTAACCGTAAGCGTAAGGATTAACCGTAAGCGTAAGGATTATGCGTAAACATAAGGATTAAGCGCTAACATAAGGATTAAACGTAAACATAAGGATTAAGTGCGAATATGCAGATTACCAGACGCAACTTAAGCTGATCTCACCTCCTCTGTGGGGGGGGCTCTTCCCCCCCACAGCCCCCCCCCCCCCAGGATATATTAATATTAGCCAATAACAATCAGTTAGTGATCAGTAGCCAATGGCGTCCCACAGGGAGGACACGCTCCCAACCAGAGGGGGTCGTGGCAAATGACCCCCACCGTTTAAGGACCCCTGGGGTGACTCCAGACCCCATTATTGGGGTGTGAGAGGGGCGAAGGGTGGGAGTGTATGGTGGTCGCGCCGAGTGTGGCTGGGTGAATGGGGATATTGGGTGGGGGAGGATATGGAGGGGAGCATTTGAGGGGTGGTAGATTAGAGGGGAGGGTAGTTGTTGTTGTTAAAGGTTAGCTACTTGGAACAAACAGTTCCAAGTAGCACGGGCTATGGTGAGCCCGTAGATACTAAGGGATAGGTGGAGTGAGAAGAATACGGAGGCTGAGAAGGAGGGAAGCGCAGCCGTGGAAGCAGTTGTTTAACACGTTAATTTAAAAGTCGTTACTGGCTATTTCACGTTAGTGTGTGTGTGTGCGCGTGTGTGTGTGTGTGTGTGTGTGTGTGTGTGTGTGTGTGTGTGTGTGTGTGTGTGTGTGTGTGTGTGTGTGTGTGTGTGTGTGTGTGTGTGTATGTGCGTGTGTGTGTGTGTGTGTGTGTGTGTGTGTGTGTGTGTGCGTGTGTGTGTGTGTGTGTGTGCGTGTGCGTGTGTGTGTGTGTGTGTGTGTGTGTGTGTGTGTGTGTGTGTGTGTGTGTGTGTGTGTGTGTGTGTGTGTGTGTGCTTACCTAGTTGTGCTTGCGGGGGTTGAGCTCTGGCTCTTTGGCCCCGCCTCTCAACCGTCAATCAACTGGTGTACAGGTTCCTGAGCCTATTGGGCTCTATCATATCTACACTTGAAACTGTGTATGGAGTCAGCCTCCACCACATCACTGCCTAATGCATTCCACCTGTTAACCACTCTAACACTAAAAAAGTTCTTTCTAACGTCCCTGTGGCTCATTTAAGTACTCAGTTTCCACCTGTGTCCCCTTGTGCGTGTGCCCCTTGTGTTAAATAGTCTGTCTTTGTCTACCCCTATCAATTTCTTTTAGAATCTTGTATGTGGTGATCATGTCCCCCCTAACTCTTCTGTCTTCAAGCGAAGTGAGGTTTAATTCCCGTAGTCTCTCCTCGTAGCTCATACCTCTCAGCTCGGGTACTAGTCTGGTGGCAAACCTTTGAACCTTTTCCAGTTTAGTCTTATCCTTGACTAGATATGGACTCCATGCTGGAGCTGTATATTCCAGGATACGTGAGAGTACTAGTCTAAACACACATCCAAGAGGATGTGTTTCCAAGAAACTATCGCCAATCGTTTCTACCTCGACCGGGAATCGAACCCGGGCCCTTAGGACTATGACCCCGAGTGCTATCCACTCATCCAGAAGTTGCATATGTAACCCCCTGTAAATATGCATGCAAATGCATACATATCAACTTTTTTAACCCTTATCCACCAAAATCTCCCACTTATACCACCTTATCCACCAAAATCTCCCACTTATACCACCTTATCCACCAAAATCTCCCACTTATACCACCTTATCCACCAAAATCTCCCACTTATACAACCTTATCCGCCTAAATCTCCCACTTATACCACCTTATCCACCAAAATCTCCCACTTATACCACCTTATCCACCAAAATCTCCCACTTATACCACCTTATCCACCAAAATCTCCCACTTATACCACCTTATCCACCAAAATCTCCCACTTATACCACCTTATCCACCAAAATCTCCCACTTATACCACCTTATCCACCAAAATCTCCCACTTATACCACCTTATCCACCAAAATCTCCCACTTATACCATCTTATCCACCAAAATCTCCCACTTATACCATCTTATCCACCAAAATCTCCAACTTATACAACCTTATCCACCAAAATCTCCCACTTATACCACCTTATCCACCAAAATCTCCCACTTATACCACCTTATCCACCAAAATCTCCCACTTATACCACCTTATCCACCAAAATCTCCCACTTATACCACCTTATCCACCAAAATCTCCCACTTTACCACCTTATCCACCTACTGTTCCCCTCCCTAATCCCTAATCCCCTTCCCCTCTCCCTCACTCTCTCTCCCTCACTCCCTCCCTCTCCCTCTCACCCCTCTCATTCTCCCACGATCTTACAATCAGATAATTGAATCCATTGACCGAAGCCATTGAGCAGAAGCGTATGATGGGTAATGACTGAGTTTCTCGTGCATAAACTGTGGGTAATTCACTCATGCATGAGTCTTGCTACCAGTAGCAGGGTTCAGCCTGCTCTGGTCGCTGTGTGGTAGTTCAGTTGTGGTTGTTGGTGGTAGGGATTGTTGTACTGGTTGACTGATGTTTTTTAGTATGTAAACACGTTTGTGACAAGGTTTTCCATACATGGTCTGGAGCCTATGGACTTAGGGGAATATGCCATGGACTTGCTGGACTTAGGGAAATATGCCATGGGCTTGCTGGACTTAGGGGAATATGCCATGGGCTTGCTGGACTTAGGGGAATATGCCAAGGGCTTGCTGGACTTAGGGAAATAAGCCAAGGGCTTGCTGGACTTAGGGAAATAAGCCAAGGGCTTGCTGGACTTAGGGAAATAAGCCAAGGGCTTGCTGGACTTAGGGGAATATGCCAAGGGCTTGCTGGACTTAGGGAAATAAGCCAAGGGCTTGCTGAACTTAGGGGAATATGCCATGGACTTGCTGGACTTAGGGGAATATGCCATGGACTTGCTGGACTTAGGGAAATAAGCCAAGGGCTTGCTGGACTTAGGGGAATATGCCATGGGCTTGCTGGACTTAGGGAAATATGCCATGGGCTTGCTGGACTTAGGGGAATATGCCATGGGCTTGCTGGACTTAGGGGAATATGCCAAGGGCTTGCTGGACTTAGGGAAATAAGCCAAGGGCTTGCTGGACTTAGGGAAATAAGCCAAGGGCTTGCTAGGACTTAGAACAATGTATTAAGGTCTTGCTAGGATATAGATAATTGTATTAGGGACTTGCTAGGAATACAACATACATTTTTTCGTACAAATACATATAGTGGTTGACTTTAAATACTTTTACGGTTTTCATATGCAAAAGATGCGATTTATTACATAAAAGATATAAATGAGAGGTGAAACTTTGGACTTTATGTATTGTATTATGTATTTTATATATACGCACACGCGCGCGCGCATACACACACACACACACACACACACACACACACATTGTAAACTGTTGTAAAGAGGCGGGACCACACACACACACACACACACACACACACACACACACACACACATTGTAAACTGTTGTAAAGAGGCGGGACCACACACACACACATTGTAAAGAGGCGGGACCAAAGAGCCAGAGCTCAACCCCCGCAAACACAACTAGGTGAGTACTAGGTGAGTACACACATATGTACTCTAGTGAGGGCTTTACACCCAATCACATCTGAACGAATTTTTCGTGCGTGAATCGTTAAACACACCTGTAAACTGTATATAGGTAATATACAAGTTGCTCTCGGAGGCCCTGGCACCTGGCACCTGGCACCTGGCACCTGGCACCTGGCGACTGGCATATTGACATTTAAACATGATACTGTTGATATCCTTGCAAAGATAGCTTGTAGTAGACTAGTTAACTACTGTAGTAAATTAATATGCTATATATATATATATATATATATATATATATATATATATATATATATATATATATATATATATATATATATATGTATATATATATATATATATATATATATATATATATATATATATATATATATATATATATATATATATATATGTATATATATATATATGTGATGTATATGTATGTGTGTTCTCGCTGATACACATGCTGTTTGCTGCTAGGTGAACAGAGGAATCAGGGGAAATGAACTCTGATCATTTGTTGCTCTCTTGGCAGGGACTCAAACCCGGGGCTTAGGATTACGACTCACGAGCGCTGTCCGCTAGGCCGCGAGGACCCTCCAAGGTATGTACTCACCTAATTGTGCTTGCGGGGGTTGAGCTCTAGCTCTCTGTGTGTTTGAGAGAGAAACTATAACACAATCCCAGGGGCCAGATTCACGAAGCAGTTACGCAAGTACTTACGAACCTGGGGCCAGATTCACGAAGCAGTTACGCAAGCACTTACGAACCTGGGGCCAGATTCACGAAGCAGTTACGCAAGTACTAACGAACCTGGGGCCAGATTAACGAAGCAGTTACGCAAGTACTTACGGACCTGGGGCCAGATTCACGAAGCAGTTACGCAAGTACTTACGAACCTGGGGCCAGATTCACGAAGCAGTTACGCAAGCACTTACGAACCTGGGGCCAGATTCACGCAGCAGTTACGCAAGTACTTACGAACCTGGGGCCAGATTCACGCAGCAGTTACGCAAGTACTTACGAACGTGTACATCTTTCCTCAATCTTTGACGGCTTTGGTTACATTTATTAAACAGTTTACAAGCATGAAAACTTGCCAATCAACTGTTGATATTGTTATAAACAGCCTCCTGGTGCTTCGGAGCTCATTAACTGTTTAATAATTGTAAACAAAGCCGTCAAAGATTGAGAAAAGATCTACAGGTTCGTAAGTGCTTGTGTAACTGCTTCGTGAATCTGGCCCCAGGTTCGTAAGTGCTTGCGGAACTACTTCGTGAACCTGGTCTCAGGTTCGTAAGTGCTTGCGTAACTGCTTCGTGAATCTGGCCCCAGATTCGTAAGTGCTTGCGTAACTGCTTCGCAAACCTGGCCCCAGGTTCGTAAGTGCTTGCGTAACTGCTTCGTGAACCTGGCCCCAGGTTCGTAAGTGCTTGTATAGCTGTTTCGTAAACCTGGCCCCAGGATCGTAAGTGCTTGCGTAACTGCTTCGCAAACCTGGCCCCAGGTTCGTAAGTGCTTGTATAACTGTTTCGTAAACCTGACCCCAGGTTCGTAAGTGCTTGTATAGCTGTTTCGTAAACCTGACCCCAGGTTCGTAAGTGCTTACGTAACTGCTTCGTGAACCTGGCCCCAGGTTCGTAAGTGCTTGTATAGCTGTTTCGTAAACCTGACCCCAGGTTCGTAAGTGCTTGCGTAACTGCTTCGCAAACCTGGCCCCAGGTTCGTAAGTGCTTGCGTAACTGCTTCGCAAACCTGGTCCCAGGTTCGTAAGTGCTTGCGTAACTGCTTCGCAAACCTGGCCCCAGGTTCGTAAGTGCTTGCGTAACTGTTTCGTAAACCTGGCCCCAGGTTCGTAAGTGCTTGCGTAACTGCTTCGCAAACCTGGCCCCAGGTTCGTAAGTGCTTGCGTAACTGCTTCGCAAACCTGGCCCCAGGTTCGTAAGTGCTTGCGTAACTGCTTCGCAAACCTGGCCCCAGGTTCGTAAGTGCTTGCGTAACTGCTTCGCAAACCTGGTCCCAGGTTCGTAAGTGCTTGTATAACTGTTTCGTAAACCTGGCCCCAGGATCGTAAGTGCTTGCGTAACTGCTTCGTGAACCTGGTCCCAGGTTCGTAAGTGCTTGTATAACTGTTTCGTAAACCTGGTCCCAGGTTCGTAAGTGCTTGCGTAACTGCTTCGCAAACCTGGCCCCAGGTTCGTAAGTGCTTGTATAACTGTTTCGTAAACCTGGTCCCAGGTTCGTAAGTGCTTGCGTAACTGCTTCGCAAACCTGGTCCCAGGTTCGTAAGTGCTTGCGTAACTGCTTCGCAAACCTGGCCCCAGGTTCGTAAGTGCTTGCGTAACTGCTTCGTGAATCTGGCATTGGCCAGTAAAATATTGTAGGGGTTGATAGGCCTTAAGACAACTAGCAAACCCAAACTACCACCAATGTTACTGCTCCTTACAAGATCCCTATTTCAACTACCTCATATCTCTACCTTTCTACCCCCCCCCCCAGCTCTACCAATAGGTTGAAGCATGCAATTTAGAAATGACATTTCGCTCAATTTATAACCTTCGAAACACCAGTTCATTTCGCACTATCTCTCTCGTTTGATCATGCAACTAAGCTATCTTTGTTGAATCTTGCAAGGAGGACAGGTTCCGGCCCGAGTGGTTACGGGAGAAGGGGCGTTAGTTCCTTCTGGACTGTCTTGATAATGAGTATCATTGGGACAGTTTTTGATCAATGTGAATACATTTGCTAGCTTGCAATTGACTTGCAACACGATTGTGTGTGTGTGTGTGTGTGTGTGTGTGTGTGTGTGTGTGTGTGTGTGTGTGTGTGTGTGTGTGTGTGTGTGTGTGTGTGTGTTTGTATGTGTGTGTGTGTGTGTGTGTGTGTGTGTGTGTGTGTGTGTGTGTGTGTGTGTGTGTGTGTGTGTGTGTGTGTGTGTGTGTGTGTACTCACCTAATAGGGGGTTTGAGTTCTGGCTCTTTAGACCCGCCTCTCAACCGTCAATCAACAGGTGTACAGGTTCCTGAGCCTACTGGGCTCTATCATATCTACACTTGAAAGTGTGTATGGAGTCAGCCTCCACCACATCACTGCCTAATGCATTCCACCTGTTAACTACTCTGACACTGAAAAAGTTATTTCTAACGTCTCTGTGGCTCATTTGGGTACTCAGTTTCCACCTGTGTCCCCTTGTTCGTGTCCCGCCAGTGCTGAAGAGTTTGTCTTTGTCCACCCTGTCAATTCCCCTGAGAATTTTGTAGGTGGTTATCATGTCTCCCCTTACTCTTCTGTTTTCCAGGGATGTGAGGTTCAGCTCCCTTAGACTTTCCTCGTAGCTCATTCCTCTCAGTTCCGGGACCAGTCTGGTGGCATACCTCTGAATCTTCTCTAGCTTCGTCTTGTGTTTAACTAGGTATGGACTCCAGGCTGGAGCTGCATACTCCAGGATTGGTCTTACATAAGTGGTATACAAGGTCCTGAACGATTCCTTACACAAGTTTCTAAAGGCAGTTCTTATGTTGACCATCCTAGCATATGCCGCTGATGATATCCTTTTGATGTGGGCCTCTGGGGACAGGTTCGGTGTGATATCAACCTCCAGATCTTTCTCTCTATTTGACTCTTGAAGGATTTCACCTCCCAGATGGTACCTTGTGTTCAGCCTTCTGCTCCCTTCACTTAGTTTCATTACTTTACACTCCCTTGAGTTAAACTTTGGAAGCCATTTTTGTAACAGCCTTTTGTGTGGTACTGTGTCAAAGGCTTTCTGACAGTCCAAGAAAATGCAGTCTGTGTGAATACTAGGATGATTGTGTACTAGGGTGTACTCAATCGGGTAATTGTGTTTACCTGCATTATGTAAGATCGAGCATCAATTATGGAGCAAAGTAGTTAACAGGTGGAATGTATTAGGCAGTGATGTGGTGGAGGCTGACTCCATACACAGTTTCAAGTGTAGATATGATGCTGAACTTATTCTGAACATGTTCTACTGCTGCCTTATACAGACACACACCTGTTCACTTAGTTATTATTGAAAAGATTTGAATACTTTTCTAAGACTCGTATCTCTAATTCTAATCCAGGCTTGTGTATAGGGCAGACACTGGCCTTACCGTAGTTTAATGGTCTTCGTCTTCAAGGGTCTTGAATATTTCCTCAGTATTTGCTATTTTATGTGTTTGTGGCTGATAGATTACAGTCTGTGTCCCTGCGTCTGTGTCTGTCTGTATCTGTCTCTCACTCTCTTTATCTCTCTCTCTCTCTCTCTCTCTCTCTCTCTCTCTCTCTCTCTCTCTCTCTCTCTCTCTCTCTCTCTCTCTCTCTCTCTCTCTCTCTCTCTCTCTCTCTCTCTCTCTCAGAGTGTCATATCTGTATATATCATTGTGTTTGCAATATCATGCTATATCACACTGTGTCATCTGTTTGTTGCACCATTTGCGGCATCTATTGTT